AGCTTCTGGCCGCGCCCGCCGGTGCGGCCTCCCGGGAGCCCGGGCTTGGCTCCGGCACCCTCCTCCGGCGGGCTCCGGCCCTGCGGGGGTACCTTTCCGGGGAGGGAAACTGGCTGCCGGAGTGTCCGCGCTGCCCGGGCGCAGCAGCCGGCTCCGGCAAGGCGGGCACGGGGTGGTGCAAGCGGAGCTGCCGCGCACCAGCCGCTCCGCCGGCGGGACCCGCGTGTAGCCAGAGCGGGAGAAAGCAGCGAAGGGTTCGGTGAAGGTGGGGGCCGGCGGCAGGGCTGGTCCCCTGCGGCCTCTGCGCTGGCGGCAGCCTGAGCCGGGCTGGGGTGCAGCGCTGCTCGTACTTGGAACACCGCAGCAGTTCAACGCTGCTGCACTTCAGCCAGCCTTGGTGCCCGTCCCCGTGATCGGAGGGCTCAAGAAGTTGCCCAAAACCATATCAAGAAGCCTGGGAAAGAATTTAATCCCTTGTGCAAAAGCCTGGGACTCTGCCGGGGTAGCTTGTTGCTCTAATCCTCCGTTTGATCCGAGCTCGTTTATCCCGTATGGTTGGCAGGCTGCGTAGGAGTCCTGGGGAGACGCTTACGCAGCACTTGTGAGTGCGGGTCTGTATCTCAATCCAATAGAAATTCAAGAAATGCCTCACCTCTACAGAGCTTGTCACACAGCCTTCAGCACTCTTCCTGGAAAGGGTTCAAATTCATGTTTCTCTTCTCCTCAGCATGACAAGCCCAGTCTGCAGGCATAAATTAGAGCGTTTCTTGCAGAAAGAAAAATACTTAAATGTGTTAAATTGTCATCGCATTTCCACCCTTTTTTCCTTATTTTGGAAGGCAAAAACCTCATACCTAACTGCTAGGAGTCAGAGGGTCAGCCTGCTCTGGCAGGAAGGGAAGGCTCAGTGTGACTGGAGCCAGTGCCGGGGCAGAACTGGGCCCCGTTTGAGGGGCTGCCTGTGGAGGCTGGCAGCCGAAAGGATCTGCAGGGCTGGGTGTTGGCCGTGTGGGTGGATTGGCCTGTGAATGAGCTTTCCTCTGTGTACATGTGTAAGAGAGGAAAAGAAAAATTCTATTTTTTGGGGGAGAAAAGAGGTTTCACTTGGAGATAGCTGACAAGGACAACAGCAGCTGGAGGAAGGCTGTGGTTTCAGTGCTGCTGTAAACCTTGCTGGGCTGAGCAGGAGGGACCCAGCAGGCAGCACAGAATTTGTGACCTGAGTGGTAAATGGAGATCTGCGGAACAGGTGCTTGGCTTAAAAAATGTACTTTTAATGTCATTTTAATAAACTTTTGTGAAATAAGCCTCTTCTAAAGGGTTTTCGTGTGCGGAGATCTCCCCAGAGTCCCTATTGTGTTAAATGTCTGGCAGTGCAGAGGTGTTGCGGTGCTTCTGACGCCAGCAGGGGAGCCCCGTGGATGAGGGATTCTCTGACAGGAGAAATTGAAACAGCTTGCTAACTACTACTCTTGGGGTTGATGCAAGGGATCTGCAACAGTCACTGCGGGTGAGTGGCTTGGATCCAGCGAAGCTTCTAAGTTCTGGGATGATAAATGACACGTGTTTCTGGTGCTCAGTTGTTATTGCTGGCCTAACCTATAATCAGTTCCACACGGCTTTGCAGCTTTAATGCTGTTCTTCATCTTAGCCTTTTGCTCTTCCTAATGGTCTCGGGAAAAGTACTGGATCGTGTTTTGCTCTTCGCTAAACAGATGTGAGTTTCTCTACTTGAACCCCTGACTGTAGAGAAAACTGGGAAAGGGGACTTCTCTCCTGCAGATGACAGACGTATCACGTTCTGAGGTGGTGTTTGATTGTGTTCTGGAGGAGCTTCTAATTCACTTGCTGTGAATGCTCTGTGGCACATGCTGGCTCTGCACCAGAGGGTTAAGTGTCATTTAAGAAGAACCTGCTATTTTGAAGAGACCTGTATTAAGAGAGGCAAAATAGCAAGGGGGAGGAGAGGGGAAAGGGCAGGTGGAGCAGCAGATTGTGAGTGTTTCTCTGAGCTGGGTGTCTTTGTTTTCTTTCGTGTAATCTGGGTTACAAACCGTGTCCTTACAAAGGCTGCAGGGACACGAGCAGGAGCAGAACCTCCCCACCAGCCCGTGGCTGTGACTTTCTTTCGAGAAAGAGTTATGAGCTGCAGATGACCGAGCAAAATTATGAGCTTGTGTACAGCGTGCAGTCTGAGTGTATTTGGAAAGGAAAATCTCATGGGGGGGAAATCTTACGTGTTATTTTTTCTTGGCTGGCCCCAGACGTAAATGGGACTGCAGAAAAGGGAAGAGGTGACCCAGTAATCTCTTAATGTTGCAGCAGGTGACTGGCTGGTGAGTTTGCTGCAGTGCTGTGCTGCCCATGGGATCAAAACTGAACAGTCTGCTCGTGGAAGGCAGTCATGAAGGAAACATTGCCTCATGTTCAGAGCAAAACTTGGAAGCTGTTTTGTCATCACGAATTCCAGCTTGGGGCTTCAACAATTTCTGGCTGACAGGAAGGAAACCTGTAAGGTGCTTAAAACAAACAAACAAAAGAACCAAAACAGCCAAATGCTGTGTTTGGGTTCCTAAAATGGCCAATCAGAATGGGATTTTATCTTTCTGTGAAGGATATAAATGTGTTGAACATCAAATCTAAGTTACAAGCTATTGCTAGAATTTTTCCAGGAAGAACTGATGTCTGGTGAGATTACAAATGCTGTGGTTTGGTATTTTATGGGTGGAAAATGAGTTAAACCTTCCATCACACTGATTAATTAAATGGATACTGTTACCAGTTTTCATACCTCTGACTGTATGCTGTTCTCTGTGCTTGTCAGGCAGTTCTAGGTGGCTGGTAGTGATAGTTTGTCTCTTGGATTTAGCTGTGACTCGGCACTAACCTCCTGCTGCACAAGTTTCATTGCTTCGGTTCAGATCAGATCTATAAATCTGCGCTGTAGCTTCAGAAGAGGAAAGTCAGTCCCCCATGAAGGTGAGTAAAGCAGTGTTTGTCCCGAGTGCAGTGTTGTCACTGTGGGTCTGGAAAGAGTATTTGTTCCTCCTTGGCTTTGATCGGGGACTGCTCCTAGCTCACCCCGTTGCTGGGGGTAAGTAGCCCTTAAACCTTGGGGAGCCATAGACGTGTGCACACCAGCAAGTGAAGTTCCATGAGATGCAGATCCTGGCTGTACTGCAGCTCCCTGAGCTGTGTGGGTTCAGTTTGGGTCTGTCACATGGGATTTCTAATTATTTCCTTCTCTATGAAGTCTTTCTCCCATGTGTTCTCACAGTGAGGCCTCCCATCCCCAAGCAGAGAGCCGGTGCTACCTACAGGATCTCGTGCATGCAGGTTGTGTTAATAATGCAGCAGCACGGGATCCTGTCGCTGCATATTTCCTTGCAAGGTGCCTGGATGTGTTAAACTTTCCAGTGAATTATTTTGTGTCCTCTACCAGCAGGAGACAAAACGCTGGCTGCTAGAGGACGGTAAAATCATCTGAAATGCACACTATCATTTTCTGCTTGTCTTCAATTAAACTGATTACCAGACTTCTTTGTTGTTCGGAGCTCAGACCGCTGCACATGCTGCCAGCATGTACTTTAGCAACCGTGGGCGATGGGATTTCCCGCATTGTTTGAGTCTTTGCCATTGACCTTTGTGGTCGTTGTTCTGGCACTGCCTCTGCTCTGGCAGGGGTGCAAAGGGCATTATTCAAACCCTGAAAGAAAAGGGAAAGAATTGCTTTAAAGGCATTGAGGACTCTTTGTAATCAGTGGCTCCTAGGGTCATTGCTGCAAAAGAGGGGGAATTGCTGGGGCTGTCAGTATAATTACCACTTTTTTTATTGTTCTCATCCCAGTCGAGATGACAGTGGTGTGATTTGTAGTGAGTCATAAAAATACGCCTTCCATACAGCGTTAGGATTGTGTCCCTTTTGGACTAAGTGAGGAGAAGCTCGGTTCTGGTTCTTCTTGGGAAGTCTCAGAGGTGCTGGAAGCACTCGGCTGTGCCCGGCAGGTTTCTTGGCTCTGTACTGGGGGGCTGCAGAGGGCTCCACTGGAGAGGCCGGCGGGGTTGTGCTGGAGCCCTGCTGCAGCCCATGCCTGTTCGAGAAGATGCCCCTCCCTGGTGCTGGAGACAGGCCTGCCAGAGAGACAGGAGCCATCTGCTCATCACAAGGGAGGTCGAGTTACCCATTCCTGCCGCCGTCCCCCATTGCTGCAGCGGTGGTTGCTCCGCTCTGGTAAATCATTTGCTCAGCCTGTGCCTGGAGCCTTGTACCTTGAACCTGCTGGAGGTCTGGTGCTCAGCCAGCTCCACTAACACAGCAGTGCTCGGCTCACCAGCGCCAAGGCCAGATCAGGGGGAAGGCTGAATGCATGACTCTTTCTTTTCTTCCCCTTTCCATCTGAGCCTTCCTACCCTTGTCAGGAAACAGCCGGCCTCGTGAAGGTGTCTCTCATGTTGCTGGTAGACTGATGTGAAGGGCAGATGAGGTCTTTGGAGTAAGATCTTTGGAATAAGATACAACTTCTACATTATTCATTGCATTTGCATGGTATTGTGCAGCTTGAATTAAATTGTCTGGAGCAAGATCTTGTACTCGATGTGCTGTCGTAGAGTAAGTGCCAGAGTGCTTGGGTTAGAGTAAGTGCTTCGTAACTCCAGCCTTATAAGTCCAGCAGGCACTGAGGTTAGCTCGGGGGCTGACAGCAGCGAGCCAGGCTGACCCGCTCGCCCCACGTGCTCAGCCCCTGCCTTGCCCTAGGTCTGTCCTGCCTGTGGTTTGTACCCAGAAGAGAAGAGGCCTCTGCAGCTCTCCCCTGCAGTGGGACAGAGACAACCCGGGGAGATGAGACCCCCAGTCAAGCCGCAGCTGCCTGAAGGAGCCTGGCCTCCTGGGGGTGACTCTGATCTTGTCTTCTTTTGAACCTGTAAATGAACTTGGGGATGAAACGTGAAACATAACGAGCCCTGTTGTTGGAGTTGAAAGCCCAAGCTCTCTGCGTTGTGTGCTGGTGCTGAGTTTAAGCTATTTTCTGCTGGGGAAGTAAATTGCTCCAGTGGACAATCCAGGCACGTGACTACTGGGGCACAGTCATGGAAAATTGGCTCAGTTGTCATGTTTATTTGCTCTGATATAACTTTTTATGACACTGTCATGCAGCTTTTTCCAAGGCTACTGGAATGTGTTATTCTTCATTTCTTCCCTTCCACTACTTTTTTTAAGGAAGCACTATCAGAGAAACCGTACATCACACTGATTTTTATTGTTGTTGTGGGTAGTGAGTTACAGGCTTCTGTAACGGACTAGGACTTTTATTTTCCCCTTTTTATAACAAGTTAGCACAGAACCCCCCTGTTATTGTAGCTGTAGCTCAAGCTTATGATTTATAGCAGAAGAAAATAAAATAGAAGTTGTTAGCTCTTCTTCCATTCTGATGAAATCAATTTTCCCTGATTTTAGTCTCAACTCATGCCTTCTTTTTCCTCCAGGGAGCTTTGTATTGTTCCTATACAGAATACACTGGTGTTTGTTTTTCTCTCTCTCTCCCTCCTGGGGAAGCTCAAGTGCTCATTACAGTAGGGAACAGCCTTACGTTGGGATATAAAGGTCACGAGTATTTCCTTTCACCTCTCCAGCCAGGAGTCAGACTGATGTACACAGGAGGTGGCAAGAAGTCTTTGCAGCAAAAGGAGCTTTTGTCATGTTTTTCATGAGTGAGACCTACAGACTGGTCAGTCCATTCTGCACAGAGCCTGTAGCCTTCTTTGTCTGGGTCTAGGAGAGCTGATTTCCTCCTTCTCTGAAAAAATAGTGCTGTTTCCGCATCCCACTGTCTCTCCCTGTTGCTCCGTGTGGGAGACCTCCGGTACCAACGGTGCTTTGTGTTCAGCTCTGTGACAATACACTGATTTGCTCACCTCCCATTAAATGTTTTCAGCGTAACTATCAGGTAGTAACAGAATATTTTGATGTTTTTTTTGGACAGATTCCAAAATCTGTTTTAACTGCTCTTTCCGTTGTTGCAGGTGAAGAGGGAGAAGGGCGTCTGAATACGGATGAATGAGCTGCGATGGATAACAAAGACTCAGAAGCTGAGATCCACCCTCTGAAGACTGAGGACGCGAAAGCTCAGGAGAACCATGAAAACTCTGTGGAGAGAAGAATTATCATCAAGCAGTCATCGCGACTGTCTCGGCTGTCCCGCTGGCGCACTGCTGCCTTCTTCATCTCGTTATTTCTGTGTTTGATAATTGTGTTTGCTTTCTCGTTTATCATTCCTTGCCCAGAAAGGCCAGTTTCAGAAAGAACATGGTTCCGAAACTACGACAGTGCAGGTGAGCTTGTGTAGCAGAATAAATATTTACCAACAGTCCTTTTCCTTTATGTGCCGTGAATTTGAATTGTGAACCTCTACCTACGCATGGTCTGGAGCCAGGCCTGCAGGGATGCTGCCCTTGGGAGTCGGAGCTGTGAATACCTGACCTGGATAAGCAGTGGCCCGTCATAATTGGAGTGGCCTTCCAGGAGGTGTTTACAGGATCTAATGGAGAAATTAGATGCTGCTCTGAAGCTCTAACAAGGTAGCAGGCTGGCCTCATTTGGAAAACAAATAAATGGGGAAGGGTGTCTGGGAATAAATCTTTGTTGAAAGTTTGGTCTGTAAAATGTTCCCTTGAAGTTTAAGGTGAGGTTTGGGGACAGTTAGGCGTTCTCTCTTTATCAATATGACTTTCTAACTTCTCCATGGAAAACAGGAAGGGGAGAAGAGGAATTGCATCTTGTTTCTTTTTATAAACTGCACAAATTTATAGTTGCTTTAGTCGGCTCTTTAGCCTGGGTACTGCTCCCTGGTGGCTCAGCATTTGCTTCTGTGAAAGCTCTTCTTTAATTTACGTGCAGTGCGTGTGTGCTGGTTGTGCTGTAAACGCAGAGGTAGTGCTCACCAGCAAGGACTGAGCTTTGTGTGTTGATGCAGAAATCCCAAGTTCTGCTACTCTGAGCCGAAGAAGGCTGCTTTTAGCTGAGAATGAGAAAGGTGGAGTATCGGGCTGAGTTTTGTGGAGTTTGTTTGGGGTTTTTTTATATTTCAGGAATAGCAACCCCACACCAAGACCAGAGTTGTTCTTTGTTAAAAATAGTTCAAATTCTGGCTGCTTGGCCTTAAAAAAAAAAAGACAAATCCTCTGGGGGATAGCAAATTTTAAAAAATCCTTTGGCACTAACTTCCAGTCCTTGGTACTCATGTAGATGTTTTTAATACAAAAGACAATTTGTCCTGATGTTACACTGTCAGAGATGGAAGCAGTGAGTAGGTCTCTAGGAATTTGTGTTTTGCTCCAGCTCGCTCTGCTGTTGTTGAGGCAGTCCTCACTGGTGCCTGGCTTGTGATCTCTTTTACAGTGGCCTACCAGTTTCTCGCTATAGAAGATGTGAATGAAGACAAAGTGCAAGATGTCCTCTTTGCTTTCAAAGCTAGCAACAGCAGCAGCAGCTTCAACAGATCCTGTCTGGATGAAGGTAGCTGATTCAGAAACAGGAAGCCTTGTAGTAAGGGCTGTTCTTTCTCTTTTAGTTCGAATTAGTGAGGCTGCTGCGGGTCTGGGAGAGAAAACCAAGTTAGTTGGGTGGGGAGAGAGGGACTGGGTGAGTCCCAGCTCATGGGTGGTGCAAAGGTAAGTGCAGGTAGTGCTCCCTCTGACATCTCTTCTCCTCAGGTCTGCCTTCTCCATGTGCCTTTGTTGCTGCTGTGTCTGGCACGAACGGCAGAGCGCTCTGGGAGAGGCCTGCTGCCGAGGAGATTGAGTGGATGGAGTGTGACATCAAGCAGCTCGGGGAGGCGGAGGTCCCAGGCTGCCTGGTCATGGGGAAGCCGGTGTCTCTTACGACAGTCGCCCTGCGGACAGGTGAGTGGGGAGCAGAGTACTGCTGCCCTACAGCACACCGTGCTACTTGCTTCCCTCACCTGGTGACCTTCAGGGCCTGGGGACATCAGCGTGACATGACCTGCTGGTACATGAACAATGGGCACAGGGTATTTATTATCTGGAAAACCTTGCCAGAGCCATTCACTGGGCTGTTGAGAAGTGCCTGTTCTCTCAGCTTCTCTGTTCCAAAGCCTGGACTCTGTTGTGGTGGTGTGTGCCAGCCACTGTTACAAGACCAATGTTTCAACAGCTTTCGAAACAGGAGAAGCGGTCTCTAGCTGTGAATATTCCTTTATACTCTCAGGGGTTGGACACAAACCTGCACCTGTAGTGTTTTTCAGTCATCTGTGTGCGAGTGCTAGGAGTGCCTGCAGTGGCAAGAGGATTGGGAGTTTTATGATTTTAAAGTCATCAAGGAGAGCATTTAGGATAAGTAATCGCCGGTCTGTTTCAGTAGCCCAGGATGTTGCCTGGTTCCTCTAGAACGCCTTCATTTCTGACCCTATAGATTGAGAAATTCATCATCATCTTCCCGAACAGGAGCAGAGTCTATTGCACCTTGAACCTTCCTCAGTGATGAAGCCTGAAATACATTTCCATTTTGAGGGTCACTGTTTCAAAGGTTCTAAACAATGCTTGTTCTCCCTTGGAAACATGCCTGGGATGTTATCCTCTATCTGATATTGAACCCCTCACACCCTATTTTCCAAAAAACTGGGAGAGAGAAATATCAAGAGGTAAAGCTCTAAGGAATCTGAGAAAAATCTGGTGTAGCTTTTAATTTCCAGTGTAGATGGAAATGTAGACACACACAGAGCTGGAAAGCTTCTGTACCCACTGAGGTATCTTAGCCCCATTTCCCTCATCAGTAGGCTTTAGCACACGTTATTTATAGACTATTAATGAAGTAGTTGCTTCCGGGTCAAAGTGTAGAAAGGTGGCTGCTGAGCCAAAGGCATGTAACTAAAGATAGCCATAAAGAAAGCACGAGCAAGGAGAGAAGGAACCAGGCTAAGCCACAGGTCACAGCATAATACAGTAAAGAAAACATTTCATAGATAGATTCAAATGAAGATTTTATCATCTAAAATGAAGACATGAAAAATCCCTTCAGATCGAAAAGCTAATAAGCCAGAAGTTGACATATTTTATACTTTTTTGCTATTAAGTAGGTTAAAAGGGGTTTCTTGGCACGGTTAACTTTTACTGGGGGTTAGGAGGGCAGATCAGAATAAAATGTATTCAAATAGGTTAAATGTATTTAAAGTGGCAAAGTCTGACTTATATCGGCATTGTGCTAAAAACAGTAGCCAGAACAATCCTCAGCTGTTAATGATTCATCATCATGGAGGATTGGTGAGATTCCAGGGCTCTCAGGCCCTCTGGCCTCTGCCTGTAGGAAGACTGAAGGAGAGGTAGGCAGATTATCACTGGAAAGCGTCAGATGTGGTTTTGATCCTTCAATGCTGATAAAGTTAGTGCTCTTCTATCAATTCAGGTTTTGTTAAGCCTTGCTTTCTTCATTGCCAGAAGTGACCTGAGCAAACAAGAAGGGAAGTGTAGGATTGCATGCTTCTGTTTGTGTGGGATAGCTAACATTCCTGCATGTTTATCCTACAGCAAACTGGGACACAAGAGTTTAAGATTATCTGTTCCAGGTCAAAGCAAAAGTCTGTGTAGCTGCGTGTTCCGTCTCTGCCAGGGCCAGAAGCAGAGCCTTGAGGAAAAGGACAGGAGTAGTGCTGTGTTACACCTCCTCTCCTCACCTTGTCCTCCGGCAGCCTGCACTATGAGCCCTGTGAGTAGTTCTGATGTCTTAAGGGATGTGGCAGAAAGGGGACCACGGTGATCAGATGTATGAAATGGTGAGAAATCCCTAAACAAACCAACCTGGAGAATGTCTGACAGGAAGAAAAGTCTACGTCCTCTGCAACTGCTTGAAGTGAGAGCTGAACTCAGTCATCTACGTCCCGATTTTGTATTTCCTTCTGGGCCAAAAAACTCCCAACGCTTTCACCCAGGTTAGATTTGCTGTCTAAGCGCTTGTCTGATTTCCATCTCGGCTGCTGTGACCTCGGGCTCTGAGGAAGCACCGAAGTGTTCTAGGTGTCAGACAGGATAGTCCCATCTCCCGTTGATGGAGCAGGATGGGACTGGTTTCACAGTTCGTGCTCTTCGGGGGGGCTGTACTAGAGCATGAAAGCTTCTCAGGTCCTTTGTGTTGAATCCATCTTGCTGTTACCTGTTTCTATTAAGTCAGACTGCTCTTTTAAGAGAGTAAGATGCTTTTTCCAAAACTTATGTCCACTGTCTTAACCAGCAAAGAACAGAGCCTTGTGCACTGAAATGTGAATTTCGTCAGCCTGTTGTAGCTTTGGACTGTGCTGAAGCCAAGATACAGTTATTTAAAACTCAAATTCTCTCCTTCCTTTGCCTACTTGTTTTTTTCTGGGGTAAAATTCTTTGCCTTCCCATGATTTCCTCTGGGTTCTCTTATGCTTCACATCTGTTGCCATAGTAACATATCCAAGTATTTTTTTCAGTGTTTCAGTAAAAGCTTTGGAAGAATTATGCTGGAAGTACAGCCTGCCTTAAATTATTGCCGACAGGGGTCAGGTAGTAATTCCTTGGCCTTCACTACAACTGCTGTCCTGACAAAGAACAGATGATTGATTGCTTTGCATTCCTGAAATTATAATTGTTGTGTGTGATGCTGTTTAAAGGAGAGGATAAGTATTTCCCCTCTGAGCACCTAGTTAGTCACTTAAGTCTTCCTTAAAAAGAAAAACCCCCGACGGTCTCGCCCCCTCACCACATTTCACTGCGAATTCCACTGGGCAGTGACTGGGAAGCTGCCGGCAGCCCTGGGCAGTGTATGGAGTAAAGTCACCCAGCTGGCCTGGAGCCATTGAGGAGAAACTCCACACACACAGAAACACTTTTTTTTAAAAAAAAAAAACAACAAACCAAACCCAAAAAAAACCGCAAGCTCTGCTACCTCTATTTACAAACAAGTTTGAACGTGCTGTGCGAGTTCTTTGAACGAGGGAGAGGTGGGATGTGAACTGAGTTGTGGCTGGTCACGTCCGTCTGGAACATCTGCAGGAACATCTGCAGGAAGCAAGTTGCAGCAAAAAAGGTTTTGTTGGGAAAAGCTGCAGTGCTGTGATCAGAATTTAGCTGCTTTATGGTCTTAAAATGTCTCTGCGCATTTAAGTAAACAGCAGCAAGATTTTAGATCACAAAGAAGGATTTTCCATGCCATGAACATGATGCTTGTTAACCTAAGGCCCGGAAAACCAAGCTGTCCTTTGTGCCCTGCGGATTGATTTGCACCTGGGATGTTTGGGTGCACTAGAATGACTTTCCAATATAAATTGAAATTGTGAAATGCAGAAATGCAGAGAAGTACCCCACAATGAGCATAAATGTAACTGGTTTGTGGTGCTGATGGGCTGTAAATGGCTGGCTGCTGCAAAGGAGGAGCAGCTGTTAAAAAGCCTTTCAACCTAAAGTGCCTCTTAGTGTTTCCCAATAACTGTGTCTTCTAGGGGAAGTTCTGTGGAGACAGTCCAGTGACTTTGGAGCTAATTATACCGTGCTGACTCCTGTGGCCGTGATTCCAGATGTGGATAGTGACGGAGTTCAGGACCTGATAATCTTTATTGCTACAGGAGATAAGGTATGTCACTCTGAAGCCATGCTACACCCATGGCCGGACCACAGGGGATGGCAGGAATGCTATTTATTTCCATCTTGTAGTCTAAGAGGAAGTGTCCAGAGGCTTCTGATTATCTGTGGGTTTGGGGGAGGTTCTTTCTCACCCTGCAGAGATGTACTTCCAAATCAATGCGAGTGTTTGATGGTTTTAAAAAAAAAAAAAAGCTGGCCAGGAATCCATCCCTCTTTTCAGCCTGCACTCCTCGCTGCCTGTTCCTGGGCTGTGTGTGGAGTGAGCCTAGGGGAGACGAGCTTGCAGTTTTCTGGGACTCTACTCGGAGAAGTGGAAGTGAACAAACCCTGACAGGTTTGGCTCCTAGATCAAAGCAGGGCTGACAGCCAGCACTTTTGTACCACCACTGCCCTTTTCTGATAGCTGTGGTAGTGCTGCCCGTGCTCTGCTTTGCACGGCTCTCTTCCTTGTGTCGCCGCTGGTTAATTCTGACTTGGGTTCATGTAGTTGTGTTAGCACCATTCCGATATTGCTTTTCCTGTTTCTTAGAGGGGGAAAGTCATATAGCTAAAAGTGGTTTTATACTCAAACGTCTTTATCTGTGACTGAGCGGTACAGCATCATCTGCATGCGCAATCTGTCCTGCTTAAAGCATACAAAAGTTACAGTTCCCTGCAAGTCTGATGGGTGGAGTGGGAGCCCTGTGTCCTCATCGTACCAGAGTTCTCCATAAGCAAATAGGGTTTTGCTGTCCGAGGCATTGTTGTTGCCAGAGTCATCAGAAATTCTATCCTCTCCGACTCCTACGTTTCTCATCTGTTTTCTTTCCTTGCTGCTTTTGCTATCCCAGATATCTCAAGACTTTTTTTTTTTTTAATGTTATGCAGCCAAGAAATGTTTGAATGTGGTCTCTGTTCTGCAAGACTGCCTTTGATTTGTTTTCCATGTAACTTTTCTAGCTATCTAGGTATGAAACCCCTCCTTCCCTCAGGACTTGGCAAGCACTCTGTCAACTTAAGTAAAAGTACGTTCTTTTATAAGAAATCACGTAAAATTTAGAGAGCCTGAGTTGAGCTCTGCAGCTTGGCAAAGGGCCGTCTCGTCAGAAGGGAGATGCAGAACCTAAGCAAATCAGCTTTGTGGCTAACAAGGGCAGAAGCTGAACGTTATGTTACACTGCTGCTTCCCGAAATGGCAGAGCTCTGAGCAGCCTGTGGGGAAGGGTCTGTGTGCAGGGGGTTTAGATGGCAGTTTTTTCTGAGAGTCTTACTGACCTTTAGCTGCTGCACGCCTCAGCACAAATACATCTGGGAAAAGAAGACCTTTGTCGGGACACGTTGCTTGTAGCAGCGTGTAGAGATGTTGGGCAGTGCGGTGAGTGAGGTGGTGTGTATTCTCGCTCGCTGCGTGAGTACCTTTGGCTGTTACTGTCTCCAGGCAGCTGCTGAACCAGTGCTTCCCAGTAAAGGTGAAGCTGATCTACAAGAGCTGGTATGTGTCTCCTCCCAGTGCGGGAGGCTGGGAACAGCTGGTGGATATAGTGCTCTCCCTCTCCAGCTCTGTTCTTCCTTCTCCCCAGCAAACTATCCCTTATTCACCTGCCAGACTCTCCAGTTTCACTTTGAGAGCAGCAGATTTCCTTCTCTTTCCAGTCCCTCCCTCTCAAAGAAGACAGAAGGGTTTCTGCCTGACTCGGCATCTCTGATGGATGCTGTTTCTCTTGGTCTGATGTTTCTCTTCTCCCTAGACAGTGTTGCTCTCCCCAGATCATGACTGTTGCCCAGACTTCTGAATCTGATCCTTATTTTAGCCTTTATTCTCCCGAGTGACATGTTTTTAGTGGATTCCGTTACACTGCACAAAGAATATAAAGAAACCTATCAGCTCTTTTATCTCCTTGGACTCATGTCAGCTTTAGGAGGAGTGGATTAGGGCACTTAAAATATTTAGCAGATCTACCCTGTGAAGCCAATTTTCCCCTGTGTCCATATGCTGCTTTGTTTCTGCCTTTAGGTCTCTCCATCATTTTCACTGCTCAGTAGGCTTGAATTGATCTTTGCTGTCCTTAGCAGAGCTGGAGTTTGCTGTTCAGCAGTCCCAGCCTGCAGGGGAGGTGGTTGGCAGAGGCAGTAAAATCTTGGGGCGAGTGGCTGTGCTGGACGTGGTTTTCCAACTTGCAAAAGTGTTCCCAGCAGAGGGATCATCTAACTCCTGTGCACACCTCCAAAACCAGGGAGAGACTTTTCATCCGAGCTTGTGCTGTTCCCGTTCACCTGCTGTTCAGTACCAGCTGCTCAGAAGCTTTGGAAGTCACTCCAGTTGGAGCAGTAACAGTGTGATGCAGCTTTAACCTTTTTTTTTTTAATCCCTTCCCTGCGTAGATTAAGACCTTCATCCATTCAGGAAAAGATGGCAGACAGATCGGCTCCGCCGGAAGCCTGAACGTGGATGGGAAAGCTCGCTATGTCAGGCTGAACCTGGACTCCTCCTCTTACTTCCTTTTCTATACAGGTACAGTTCTGTTTGTGAATTCAGTCTGAAAGAGTGATTCTAACTGAGATCAGGATTACTAGACAGCCGTCTGACAGATCGTTTTGCATCCTTAAAAGCTGTGTTGTGCTTTCACCTAGCAAAAGAGCTATTCAAGGCCTAGAGAAAGGGGGGGCCTTCTGCTTAAACTCTGTTATATACTGTATTAATTCTATCTGAAAAATGTTGATAATGTAAGGTTTAAGTAGTCATTTATAGCAAATGATTACTGTGGAATATTTGGATTATGAACAGATAAGCAGTTAAAAGCATTCAAAAGCAGGCTTGAGTCTCAAAATACCACTACAACTCTATGATGCAAGCCCTAAAAATACAGTTGATCTGCCAGATCTGGAAAATCAGAGTTCAGAGCAAGGGCAGGATAACTTATCTCCCTCGTTATTGCTTTCTTTGTGCAGAAAACTCTCTCTATGCATATTCCCTGAAAGATCTCTACAGTGCAGCAACTGGGATGGAAATTAAGCTTCCCAGCCTTGGGCAAGATTCTCAGTGGGAGAAGAACATTGACCACACCACGCACCGATTATCCCTTCTCAGGTGTGAGATTATGTCTTGGTTGCTGGTGGAGTAGCGGGTACTGGTGTTCCTAACAGAGTGGCCTGTTTGGCTTTGTTCTTTCCTGGCTTATGTGGCTTTTGGATTAGGAGCATATCCAAAGCTCAGGGCTGGTGCCGATGGCCTGGTCAGGGTTTCAGAGGAAAGGAGGGAAAGCAGACTGGGGTTTCCTATTTGTATTTACTGTGCAGGGAAAAAAAAAAAACAAAACAAAACCCCACAATAAAACCATCCACAGTCTGGAAACCGTAATCATTTCTCTGTCCTTGTTCAGCTCTGGAGACATTCGTTACCTGGCAAAAATTCCTGGGCGATCACGAGAGAACATCTTGGTTGTGAAGTCAGAGATGGCTACGCTGATCAATGCACAAAACCTTCAGACTTTGTGGACCCTCAACACCTCTCGTGTTGTGAGGTAGTGTTACTGATGTGGCTTTGGTGTGGCACTTCCAAGTTCCCAGCAACAGCGTTGAACTGGCTGATGCTTTTTTTTTTTTTTTTTTTTCATTTGAAACACAGGAGCTTGCTCTGAGGTCATATCTGGATCATTTATTGTGTTACGTGTCCTCTGTTAGCAAACAGCAGGTGCTGCTTCAAAACAGAGGAGCCCAAAGCTTTGATTCTTCATACTGTGCCTGCTGCGATCTGGCTGGTTTGGGTCTGGGCTCAGAGTTGGGAGCGGTACCGGGCTGACCTAATGTTGTAGCAGTCTCCCAGGGGAGCTGTGGGAGGGTAGAGCCTGCTCTGAAAGAACGAGGTGTGCCCTGGCCATCGGGATGTGTCATGAACTGTCCCGGCTCTTTCTCTCCCTTAGTGAACCACTGCTTGGTTACTACAAACCTGACGTTCTTGGTATTGTCCTTGAGACTGAAATTGGACCCAACATGAAGAAGGTTTGAAATCTCTTCCTTTTAACTTCCCTTTTCTCTGCATGTCACAGCTCAAGCAGACATTGAGTCGGGGACAGCTGGTGGGATGTGTTCTCTCTGGCTGATTTTAGGAAGCTTTAAGCTGGGAAAGGTTCTCTTTCAACAGGTTATTGAAGCCAGCTTAGGCACTTTAATTCTCTTCTCAGCAATAGGCTTCAATGACAGAGCTTTGAACCCCTTGAAGTAGCTGCAAAACTTGTGACTTTATTCTAACGTGTCGCGCCCCAGGTCTCACAGCTCTGTGATGCTCAGCTTTAAGTATTTGCTCATCTTCCCATATGTCAGATTCTTGTTCCTGTAGACAGTGTAGGGTAGAGACAGCTGACTTGACTTCTCTCTGATGGCTTGTTGGAGCTCTTTGGTACGAGTTCTTTCTATTTCTTCCCTGCTAGGTTATGATTGTTGAGAGTGGATCTGGAGCAGTCCAGTGGGACCTGAAACTGAACTCGAGAGCAGAGAGCCCTGGGCCTGCCACACTTTCTACTGCTGATCACCGGTCTGCCTTCCTCCTCTGGGGTGACTACCAGGTGCCAGGAAACGAAACGGTCAGTAATGTTGCTGAATGTTCTCGACTTCGGGCCCAACCTGGGTGGAGCTACCCCCTCTCCCAGTGTTCACATTCACCTCTGTCTGTGCCGCTGCAGCCTCCTGCCCTGGGTGTGGGGTCTCAGACCAGTCCGACCTGCTAGAAGCAGGCAGAGCTCTGCATGAGGTCTGGTCTCCACTGGGTCCTCATGTCCCCACAGCACCCCTGCTAGGGGCTGGTGGTGGCACCAGCAGCTTTTGTCCTCAGCCTGCCTACGTAGAGAAAAGGGACTTAGTGGCTCTGTGGGCAAAGTGGGTGGCTTGCCCAGAGCCCTGCCTTGGCGTGGCACTGTAGGTGAGGCGAGGGGCTGCTGGCTGGTACCTCTGAAGTTGCTGCTGTTTGGCCTCTCCCGGCAGTGCTGCACGCAGTGATCTCCCGTGGCCATGTGAATGTCCTCTCTGTGTGCCAAGGCAGGCTCTGGCAGCCTCGATGCACAGCTCAGCTGGGTCACAGCCCTCTGGGGCAGTGCCTGGCAGCGTTAGTGACAGGTTGTGTCTTGGAGGATGCCTGAGCACCAGCTGAGCTTCCTGTGCTTTCCTCGCTAACTCTACCAGCCCTAAGGCAAAAATCTGTCGCCTGCCTGCAGCAGACAGGCCTGCTATTCGCAGGAAGCTTGGGGTGGGGAGGAGAGCACCGAGCAGTAAGCAAAATCCCAACACTAGTACTAGTGGCATCAGACAGGGTGAGTTGGGCACACACAGACGAGTATCTGACAGGATGTGTTCTGTCAAGCATGAGGACTAGCCGAGCCCGGTGCTGGCGTTGTCACTGGGATAACGTGTGGGTCCGTGTCCTCATAGTGTCCTGTTGGTTGCAGAGATCCAGAGCTCCTCTCCAGAAGCTGTATCTTTTCCATCCTTCCTACACTAATGTCCTGTTGGAGCTCCGCAACAGCACAGACCAAATAATTGCCTTCAATGGTAAGTCCTCTCCTTCCAGCCCTCCAGTGAGGAGGTGCGGGAGGACACTGGCCTTCTGGTACGTCCTGGGTGCCGTGAGCCTGTGGTGTTGGGTCTGGTGGCCAGTCTGAACGCAGAGACCTTAGGCTGGGCTCTTCCCTCTGCTCTGTGTTACAGCCACGCTGTTTGAGCGGAGCCGTCACGCCTGCTACGTGCTGCTGAGGGGGCCTCGGCCCAGCGAGGAGGCAGGGCCGGTGTCCCTGATGAAGCGTAAGCTGAAGGAGGATGTCTCAGAGAGCAGGGTGGTCTGGCTGAGCCGGGGGGCTGCGGACAGCGAGCAGTACATCCGCGATCGCCTCTACAGGATGCGCTTCCAGAGCCGGGCGTGAGCTTGCCGAGGGAGAGGGAGAGGCTGCCCTGGGCCAGGCGCCTCCGAGCGGCCTCTCTGCAGCCGTGCCCTTAGCAAGCCCAGATCACGGATCCAAGTGGGAAGCTGCCTCTCTCGATCCGCAAAGCAAAGCGTGGCTGGCAGGGAAGCACCTCCCGTGTCTGGGGATGCCCAGGCTGCAGGGGCAGCAGCCAGTGCATCTGTCCTCGGAGCTGATGGGACTTCAGTGCTCGGCCAGCACTGAAGTGTCGTCAGCTCGGGGGAAGAGGGCTTTCCCCTGGATCCTTCCGAGTCCACAGAACTGTGCTGACTCAGCCTGTGTCTGGAGGAAAACACATGCTTGCTGGGGATGCCGGAGTCGATTATTTCTTGGGTGCTTGCGTGAGACGTGGAGCTTTGATGTGTGGTGTTAGGTTTCCTTTCTGAGTCAGCTCTCCTGGCTGTGGGAGAGGTGCCTGACTGCAGGTTGATTTGCAGTCACCCTCTCCTGGATTTGGGCCCCTGCTTTGGTAGTCGTGGGGGGTGTGTGGTGCTAGACCCCAGCCATGGCTGATGTCTAGCTAGGTGTCGCCTGGGCCAGCAAAAACACAGGTTAAAGTGTCATTCTACTTAGAAAATGGCCTTTTCTCCTAAGAACAGCCCCACGTGCCCCACTCTGCAGTCACAAGCCTACCTGTGTCTGTCTCCCCTGCTTCTTCCTTCCCAGCCAGGCTGTGCAGCGTTGGTGGCACAGAAAGGGAGCTGGTCTCCCACATGCATCAGGGTTCCTCCCTGTCCCCAATCTGGTTATAAGGGATACGAAAACTACCCTGAGCCCAGGCTGGCTGGTCCCTGCCAGTACAGACACCACCTCTCCTGCTGGTTTTGAGGTGCCAGAGGATCTAGGACATTCTTTCAGAGTAGAATTGCACTTTAACCTTTCCTGGAAGCTGGGCTTGCTGCTCGGGGGAGCCCTGTGGCAGTGCCAGCTGCCCTGCAGATACTCGTTCAGCCTTGCAGCTGCTGAGAAGCCTTCTCCAAGCACCGTCCCCTCTGCCAGGAGGTGGGCAGGCTGTAGGACAGGCGTGAGCCACGCAGGGAAACAACACAAGCTCTCTTTGCAGCACAGCTCCAGCGAGAGCCCCGTGCTGCCTCCCTGCCATCCCTTGGGATCGCAGCGATGTTGGGTGAGGATCTGCAGGGGCTGTTCTCTCTGCCCAGCCTGGTAGCGCGAGGGATCGGGGCAGGTTGCTGCAGGAAGACGACGTCTCCCCTGGAGACTTCTGTGGCGTGGTGTGTTTGTTCTGCCCTGCTTCTTGGTGGGCACCGGTGCAGACTGTAGAAACGAGGTGCAGAGCCTGGGAAACGGGTTGAATATTGTGCTTAGTCCTGAAAGCTGCAGTCCCCACGCCGGCCACTCAGACACGAGCCCTGTGCGTACGCTGCCGGGCGTCCATCTGACTGGTGAGAGGAAGATGGGCAGAAAACACCCTAAAAATAACCTCCATCAAGTTTTGTGGTGCTGGAGAGGGTTTGGCCGATGCCTCCCTCCTTTGCCTAGTCTCAGATCAGGGGGTGTGTAAAAATAACGTAGGATGAGAACCTTACACCAGGTTGTGTAGGGTCAGGCATCGGTTCTTGTGGCAACTGCTGAGCTTTAACCTGCTGCAGGGCAGCTGCTGGCTCAAGCAGCTGGAGTCAGGCAGGCTTGTGCGCACAGCTTCAGCTCGCCCACTCTCACAGCAAAATGAGGCGCAGCATCAGCAGTCTGCCTGCACGCTTGCCCCCCGCTTCCAGCTGGCCGTGAGTTGCCCCGTGACCTGTAGCTGGGGCAGTCGGGGGAGCCGTGTAGGGTGAGTGCTGCTGGCCTCTGCAGAGCTGAGCTGCAGAGGGGGGCATCCAGGCAGCGCAGGAAGCTGGGAATTCTCCCAGGAGAGCACTCCAGCACCCCCAAAGCACCCTGCACTCAAAATGGTGGGGTTACCCCTCTGTTCCTCTCTCTCCGGGCTGTTTCCTGAGGGACTGGGGGGGTGCAGGGAGGCTCCCCTGCTGTGTCCCCCTAGCTTAAGTCACCTCAGCGTGGTGAAGACCTGAAGCCCCACGAGCCCCCGTGCTAGTCTCACTGAGTGTTGGATGTGGATTGTATCCCACTGAAATTTCCCTGGCAGGGAGCGAGGTGCCCGGGCTGTATCTCGCTGCTGTCACGCTGTCTCAGCACTCCTCCTCCTCCGATCCCTACCCAGGCCTGACCTTTCCCACAGGCACACTGAATGTTCTTTCAGGAGAGCTGGATTTTTGGCTTTGGGGGGCTTTTCTGGCTTTAAGTTGTCCATTAACGTTTCCAGATACTTTGGAAACACAGATTTTTCCCTGTGGCAGCTCAACTAAATGCATCAGTGCCAAACCAGCACCTTCTTAACAAACCAAGTAATTTTTCCAGCTTATTTCTCTGTGTAATTGGTTTTTTTTGCAGTATTTAATGAATGACTTTGTGCCTTGATTCAATAACTCAGATGGGTGATGATGGCATATATCACTGTGTTATGTATTAGTGTGTTTTTTAACACTAAGACTGTTTGGTTTGGTTCTTTAACTTATTGCAAATTGTGCCCTCTAGGACTTGGTCTAACCGGAATGGTTTCAATAAATCCTCTTTTGCATTGTTTGTAAATGGTGCCCTGCTTTTGTTGTTGCAGCTGAAGGTTATGCAAGACTTCTTTGTCAGCCCTTTGTGTGACTTGCTGAAGGCGGAGACCCCCCCCTTTTTGGAGGGATCAGGTGTCCTGGTGATGCTCCGACGGGCGCTGGCGCTGCCCTGGCCAGCTGCAGGCAGGTGCTGGGCCGTGCGGAGGGAGCCTCAGTTAGGTAACCAAGCCCCCGGCCCGGGGCTCTGTGACCTGGTTTTACACCCCGGATTCCTGCTGCAGTCCATCAGCATGAAAATCCCATGCCGGGGCTTGGATTTGGATCAAACCGGAGGGAGCCGCGTGGCAGGCGCTGCCTCCTGGAGCGTGGAACCATCTGTCGCTGCCCGGTGGCTGCTGGCGCCCAGGGCCCAGGCTCCGTCCTGGGACTGAGGCTCCTGCAGCTTCCCCTGCCCCAGGGCCCCTCTGTCTGCCCCCGCGCTGAGCTGAGAAATCCCCCCAGCTCCACGGGGGGGTCCCGAGCTCTGCGGTGGGGGAAGATGCTGCAGTCCCCAGCGCCTGAGGCAGCCACGCTGTTCCTCTTGGCTTGCCAGGTGCTCTGTGGGTCCCTGGTTGTGTGTGGGGCGGGCTGGGGTCCGAGGCTGAGCGCTGGCAGGCACCAGCCCCCCTCTCCTTTATGTAACCACCAGCGTTAATCCCCCACAGCTGGGGTTTGGCTCACGGGAAGAGAATAATCCTGCCGTGAGATCCTCAGCCTCTGCTCAGATTAACGGGCCGTGGGCAGGGAGAGCAGCTCAGCTGCCAGCCCCGCGCCCTGCGTGCCAC